GTTAGGGAAGAGGAAGAGGTCTACACAGCAGCCCTGGGCCACACACTCTTTGGCCAGCGTCTGATAGGCACCTGTCTGAGGCTGGAACAGAGTCTGAGAGGAATAAAAGAAAATGTTCAAATATCTCAGCTCCACCTATTTGAGAACTGTACATAGTCATCCCTCAGCACCCACAGGGGACTGGTTCTAGGACCCCTGCAAATGCCAAAATCCAAAGATGCACAAGTTCCTCACAGAAAATGTAGTATTTGCATATACCCTACATATATCTGCTTGTCTACTTTTAATTCCTAATTGTATGTAAACTTATGTTTATAGCAGCATTACTAATAACAGCAAGAAAATGGAAGCAGCCCAGGAGGGACAATCTCCTCCTGTACCAGTCAGATACGATTTGATGACACACACAAACAAAAAAGAAAAAAGAAAACGGAAGCAGCCTAAATGCCCATTAACAAACCAATTAGTGGAGAAATTGTTACATTCACACAATAGAACACCATGCAACACTAAGAGGAACGATTTCATAAAATAATATATATAACTTGGGAGAGATTACCATTTTGCTGTGTGAAATATTTCAGTCATGTAAGGATAAATATTGCATAAGGCCACTATTATAAAAATAGGAAGATAATGGAATAAGATGTGTATGAATATTCAAAAGGGAAAGAAAAGGAGAACAGCTAAAGGGGGAGAGGGAAAAATCACTGGGATAGCAGAAGTAATGGTAAAGTAAAGGTGAAGTAATGGGAAAGGTTGAATGGGAGCTTGAAAGATGGGGTGATAATAGGCACAGAACAATGGTTAATTAATGATATAAAATAGAATGTATATCAATGACTTTATAAAAAACAAAGTACATGTACAAAACACGATGTATAAGGAGGAGTATAGGCAAACAAACAAAAAAATACCTAATATGAATGCTTTGTAAACATATTCTCTTAGCCTGTGAGGGACTGCTTTGGTCATTTAATTTGTGTGTGTGTGTGTGTGTGTGTGTGTGTATAAATAATGCATTTAATCTGTGATTGATTGATTGAATCCACAGATCTATGTCCAACAGATATGGGACCAGCAGATGCAAAGGACCAACTATGTAACCATGGACATTCTTGTAAGATTCAGTCCTGCCAGACGTCTGCAGTGGTTTACAAAGGGCACTGGGGATGAGCCATAGAGGTGTGAGCAAGGAGGACAACTGGTAGTCACAAATGTGACATGTGAAATGACAGAGCTTCTTGTCCCAGTTCCCTTCAAAATAGGCAGGGATGTGGCAATGTGAAGAGTCACCACCCTCCCCTATAATGGATTCATTCTCCCCTACTTTCCAATGCCACACCTTCTCCTTGTCTGTGTTGATCAGCTTCCTGTCATCCCTGTTCTTCAATTTTCCTGGTGCCTCTGCAATGGGCAGGGATGTGTGGAACAGAAACAGCTTCCCTGCACATTCAGCAGCCTAGGAATGAAGAGAAGACTACTCACACATTTTTTAATTTAATCCAGTCCACAGCCATCAAGTCAGTTTTGACTCATAACAAACCTACAGAACAGAACTGCCCTGCAGGGCTTCCAAGAAGCAGATGGCCTTGTTTCTTCCATGAAGCTCTGAGGAGTTTGCTGATCTTTAGCTTAGCAGTCAAACCACTGTACCACCAGGGCTCCGATCTTTTCCTTTACTCTTCCAATATTCATTTAGCTCTTCATTTCAGAGCCCACTAGGTCAAACAGCTGACTCAATGGACAGTCATCAATCACTGAAGAAACCGGGGTCACACCAGTGGGTAAATGATCTGAGCAAAGTGAGGTGGGGACGCTGCCGGGGTATCCAGCCTTACCTTCAGAGCCTCCATTCCAGCCTGGATAACTGGAGCAAATACTGTCTCTGTCTCTCTTGTGTCTGCAAACATTTCTGGAATCTGGTCCAAGAGGCTGAAGAGGTTAAAAGAATTCAAAATTGCCATCTAGATTCCAGATTCCTTACTTTTCAATTCCCTGAAGAGTCACTTGGCCCCTCAATTCTGAAAACACTTGAAAGCCTCAGCTCCTATTCACTTCCTGAGCCCTCTGGTTCAACTCCCTAGCCTTCTGAAGTTGTACCCAATGTACCTTCTCTTTGGTACCCTCACCCTCAATCTAGCTCTTACCTGGTGATGACTGTCCGGGACTCATTGACATTGACCAGGAAGCCATCCAGGAGTGGTACAAACATGTCAGCCACATCAGACACGACCATCATCTGTGGCTGAGCCAATGAACTCTTCACATTGTAGAAATGGAGCACCTTATTGTAGGTGACAAATCCAACCCGGATTGCAGACTCTTCTGCCCCGCCCTCCCTGTAAAGAGGACATTGTTACCCAGTCTTGCCACCCTTACCACCACCCACCACTTCATGACATCAGGGCTTCATCTTCTTAGTCAAACCAAACACTCCAAAAATACCCAAAGGAAGCACCTCAACTATGTAACTGACCTAGGCAGAAAGTCCAACAGGGTCTTGAGCTCCTCACAGAGGAGTCTGACAAGACCACTCCTGATGGCATTGTAGGAGACATCAATCATGAAGATGAAGGCAGGAGGACTGGGAAACTTATTATTCTGCAAAGGAAGGCAATATTCAAGGCGGGGAAGAGGAGTACTAGTAAAGATAGCAATTAACTAGAGATTAACTATCAACTGACTTCAGCATCAAAGTGGATGGGAAAGGGAGGGGGAAGGGGAAGGAAATGACAACAGCAAGTCTTAGCTGTCACATTAACCTCTATCTGCTGCTCCTCCCCATGCTACTACCTTCCCTCACCTTGCAATAATCTACAGTAGCCAAGAATTCGTAAGAGCCCAGAGAGAGCTCAGGACGGTCATAAGCATCCACACGTTTGCCTGTATGATCCAGATGTTGAAAATACTGGGGGGGAACTGTAAGGAATACAGCACTGTGTTAGTCAAAGGTCCACACCCAAGCTAAGTTAATTCTGACTCTGACTGGCTTACTCTACTGTCTCCACTCCCACTGTGTGACCAACTTTGCCAACTCCTAAAAAAATGAACCCTTACCTATCTAACTAGAAAAAGAACAATGAAGATGCAATAAAGACCTCCCTCTTCACTCCCAAAGCCCATTCTTTTTAACATACCATCATTGATACAGCTGCAAAAGCAGCACTGGAAACGCCTCCCTCCCTCAATGAACTGCATAAAGGGACACATGTACGCTTTGCAGCGATTGCAGCGCAAAGGCCCAGATTCCCCGTGATCCACGACATACGGTGAAGCCTAAGGAGCAAAGGGGAAAGGGCTCAAACATTGAGTGTAAGCTGCAATGGGTTCAGACAGGAAGTAGCCTGGCGGGAAAAGGGGCATGGCTCAGATACTCTGCCTTGGGGAGAAGATGGCATATCATAGTGAACGATGATGAGGACAAGTAATAAGGTCACAGGGAAATGTCCCTAAAAGTCAAAAGTCTGGAAGTTCTTTTCCCTACTCCCCATCCCTAGAATTGCATTTCTCTTTGAAAGAGAAGATAGATTAAGACTCTGGCTATACCACACCAGGGGCTGCCATAGACATGTGAAGACAAAACCGAAGATACCCAAGATTCTTGGTTCTGGCCCTGTTTCCAGTCCCCTTCACTCTTATCCTAGAGATCTTGACTCTTATTTCCTTCCCTAACCAAGAGTCTGTGATACCTGTTCTGCCCCATCCTTGAGTTTCTATGGCAACTACTGATGCCTGCGGTAGATGTCACCCTAGAGATGACAGATTAATAGCCAGCCACAGTTGTCCAACCATTCCCACTGGGATACAGTAAGAGAGAACAAGAGAAAATACAAAGTAAAATAGAAAGAGAAGCAGGATATAACAGGGTCTTGCCTTTCCATTATCAAGGATTCCATCCTAAGTTAGATAAGCTAAGCATGAACATAACTGCTGCCTACCTCTCTCTTCTCATGCTAATTTCAGGTGCTGGGGTTATAAAGGAGGAACTATTGAATTGTCATCTGTTTTCCACATATGCTAACCTAACATCCCTAACCGACCTGGAATGACAGCATACAAGAAAAAAAAACCAGAACACATTTCTAATCATCTGGAGAGAATTATTCTGAGAACCTCTGGCATGCCAACTGTCTGTCCCGCAACCCCACCCCAGACTGGTCCCTACTCCAACCCATTAATACTTCTGGCTGTTGCTTTCATCTCTACTAACTCCACCAGATGGATACCCTGGGATAGAAATTACTGAAGAAACCTTCTCCTGCCAAGTATAATTTCTTCCACTGTGAGAGCCAGGACAGCACCTAGAAAGAAGCCTTATTCTCCCCTCACTTCAATTATATTCTAATCCCTTCTGACTCACCTCTTCTGGGGGCAGCCTTGCCAAAGGCTTGATGACAGCTGCCAGGGGCACCTGAGCCTGCTTAGCCATGTCAGATGTGCATGGGATATTATAGGATGTGCACCGGATGTATCGAGGACTTGCATTTCCTTTTTGGAAGGCAGAAAACCTTAGTCAGATGACAGAATCCCCAAGACACCACCCTTCCACTGTTGACCCACTCCATCACTCCAACAAATGCTATAGCTGATGGTGCTCTTGACCCTACCCCACAGACCAATGGAGGACTGGTCTCTGGTTAAAGACTGCCTAAAGCCCCATCATCAGTAAGCAGATAGCTCAGAACAAAAGCCTCCACAGGAGATGATGTCCTTCTTACCTTGGTCTTTCACCTGAAAGTTGGTGGTGACTAAGGGTGGCATCTGGCCCCGGACTCCAGTAACAAATGGCTCTGAACCCCGGTTGTTCCTATCATCCTCAATGACCTGAATCTGCAGAGAAGAAGTGATGTGAATGTGGGTGACAGGAGGAAAAAAAAAGTCAACTCCCAGGACAAAGAAAGACTGGAGCTGCAGCAGAGAATCAAGTAACTTGCCAAGGAACATCTCATGCCCCAGGCTGGCTCTCCTTTTAGAGAGCACATGAAATACTACAATACCAGTCTTTCACTCCAGAGCCAGCAGCAAAATGCTGGGCAGGCAACACTGAGCATGAACTGCAACCCCTAGTCAATGATAATCACCCTCGTGCTGCCCTCCACTCCAGAAAACTCCAGCCCTAGTCACAAACTTTTCAACATGGTTAGACTCCATTCCCCTCCCTCCCCACTCCTCCTCCCCTCCTTTCCCGAAAGCACAGTCCGAGTCAGAGCAGGAAAACAAACAATAACCATGTACAAATGCATCTACCTGAATGACTACACTTGATGGAAGTACAAGGAACAGGGTGAAGAGAGGATAAAACAAGAAATGACCAGGTGAAGTGAGGGAGCAGATGCTGCCTTACTTTCAGGTAAGCATCCATACATATGTATATTTGGGGAGAAGATAAACTACCCAGTCCTTGTAACCCAATTCTCATTCCCCGCATCTTGACACATCCAGTGAAGAGAGGGAAAAACAAAACATTTGTGAAGCTGGTAAATCAAATGCTTGTGCAGGCCAGTGACTTTGGGTCAGCTGCTTATTTCAAGATGGGTTTAATAAAACCAGAAAAAAGTAAAGGATGAATACTCCTCCCTTTCTCCTAACAGATAAGGTTGAAGCTTAGAAATAGTTTTAAACAGATGTTGTGGATAAGAAAGTAGCCTACACTATCCCAAATCAGAAGTCTCTGCTTCTGTAAAAAATGCTAGTTTGGGATTCCAGAAGCGTGCACTTTCAGTAGCAACCTACTCAAATGTCTCTCCACCACAGGCTGTGGACAAATCAAAACCAAAGTGGAAAGATGTACTGCTCAGTTTTGTTCTATCACAAGTCACCTGCAAGCTCCCAGAAGGGTCAGCAGGGCAAAGACTAAAGCTTATCATATCACTTGGCCTCCACCCTTAAAGTGGGGTCTTCCCCTCCCAAACTTCAACCAGCATCTTGCTATTTCTTCATTACATCATGATCTGAGGCATGCACATCCTTGTAGCTTGAAAAGCAACAGCTGAGGGCATAGGAAAAAGGGATGGAAAAAGATGGACATGGTGGGTGAAGACGAGGTCACAGGCATGCATGGATGGCACTAACATAGGGAGGACACGCACACACACACCCACCCCCTGCACTTACTGGACTAGGAATGGCATCAGGATCTATTCTGTGCCTGGTTTTCTGCTGAGGAGGCAGCTCATTGAGTTGCTTTTAGTGTTTTAATATAAAGGCAGCAGGGGAATACAGGGAGGGAGACAAAAGAACAAGAAGCAGATGTTACTTCTCTCAACCCTGATGGGTTAGATATGAACAGCTGCAGCTTAGCTCACGCTGCTGAAATCAGGCCCTCTATACATAAAATTCCAAATCTTTATGGCCCAACACAGAGGCTTTGATGGCTCAAACTACAACGTAGTAGGAAAAGGAAAGAGAGGAAACAGGAAGCAAGCAGGGATCATACAGAGAGGGGCTGACTTGGAGAAGCCTTAAAGAGGAAGGAGAGGGAAGCTCTCTCCAAAAGGTAAACTCTCCCTCTCTAGAGACCTTTTTTTTTACTTTTTATTATTTTTTGTGTGTGCACCATCAAATCGGATCTGACTGGTACAGGAGGAAATTGCCCCTCCTTCTCCAGAAGAGCATCTGGTGGATTTGAACTGCGTACCTCTGGGACTGTAGAGCAGCTTCTTGCCACTAGGCCACCAGAGCTCCTTTCTAGAGACTATTCTTAGATCGTGGAGTCTGTAGGGAGCAGTGCTGCTAACCCAAAGGTTGCATCTCTCTGGTAGTTCAAATTCACCAGTAACGCCACAGGACAAAGATGGACAACTTCTTCCTGTGTGATTTATAGCCCTGGAAACCCACTGGAGGATCAGCTGTGAGGTGGTTCCAATTTGACGGTAATAAGAGAGGGAGAGACTATCCACGTGCTGAAAAAAGGCTCCCTTCACATCCAACCTGGCTCTCCTCACTGCAGGAGAGGAAAGGAAGGTAAAGACTGCTTAATCCAGAGCTGTCCTTAGCCAGTGGGCTCCCTTACCCAAAGGAAGAGGGAAAAGAACAGAATGAAATATGAAAATGGCTAAGCATGGGAAAGTAACTGACATAGCAAATGTTGTGGACAGAACTGCAGAGTAATACCCACTTAGGATTACAACCTCATTTCTTTTCTGGGTTGAAAATGTATTCCTAAGGATTTTGATGGTTCTAAGTGTGAGATTCAATTCTCTTTCTGGGAGTTTCCCAGCAGGAATTTTACACCCAAGTTATCCTTGCACTCACCCAGCAGGAGGTCAGCAACCAAAAGTATTGAGGGCTTCCTCTTAGCAGAGTGTTCAAAAGCAGTAAAAATAAACCAGTGAAGCTACTTCTCTTAACACCTAACATCACAGAATTCCCACCTGCTCTATTCCATGAAGAAGAATGCTATCCTACTACACCCAATGGGGACAAGACCTGTATCAGCCGCTATTCTACAGAAGGGCAGGAGTTACTATACATCCAATAGTAACAGAAGACAACATTCAACCAAAAGCTACTGCCACTGGTAGCCACTGCAGGACTCCTTTCCTTCTCTACCCAGCTATGGAGTATAATAATTCCCAAAAGACTTCCTGAAGCCTCAAGTTCCAATTCAAAGACCCAAAGATTACGCTCAGGTTTTGTGTCTATGCAAAGATGAATGAAATGGAAAATATAATCAGATAATTCTAGGCAAAGAGCCCTTTTAGATTGACTCACTCATCTGGTAGACACAAACCTGTGGCTGAGAAACACCTAAGCATGTACTTACAGGGCTTGGGATGGCATCAGGATCCAGGCGCTTAGGAGGCAGTGGCTGGGGAGGCCCTGGCTGGCTGCCAAAGGTGGGTGTTCCAGGGTAAGGACTTCCATAGTTGGGCTGAGGGCCCCGTACTGGTCCAAAGGAACCTGAGAGACAAAGGCACAAGACTGATGAACTCAAGATCTTTCCCTTATCTTCTCTTAAGACCTCAGGGAGATGACTAGACTTCACTCAAGGTAGAATTATGAGATAAAAATTAAGAGGTAAAAATGACTAGCAAAGCCATTTCAGGAAAAGACTCACTATCTGAATTACTGGTCTTATTAACCCCATATATTAATAATATCCTGAAACTATCCGTCCAGTTCACTACTTAGCAAGCAATTCTAAAACAAAACAAATATGTGAATAGCTGAAGACTTTGGCTTCTAGCTGAACAAACCTTTGGAAAGACTCACCATTCTGTTGCAGCTGATAGCCTGGTTGGGAGGAGTGCATAGGTAGTGGTGGTCCTGGGGGCCCAGCCATCTGCGTGCTAGGAGGCAAAGCTTGAGGAGGAGGTGAAGACACATGGTTGGGCTGGCTCACTGGGGGCCCCCCAAAACCCTGTCCAGGCAGAAGTGGACCAGTCACTGAAGGCATCCGAGGACCTCCTGAAGCTGGAGATGTAAAGCTGGGAGCCTGCGGTGGGGCAGATCGCTGGGGAGGCTGAGCCCCAGGATGACCCTGGGCCAGGTTAAGAGGAGAAGCCTGGCCCTGAGGATAGGAGCCATATAGACCAGAGTTAGGGAAACTTCCTGAGGCTGAGGCCAGTGATGCTGGTGGGCCTGGGAAGTAGAAGAGGAAGAATCCCAGTCATTCTGACTCCTTGTTCAGTAAACCACTTCCTCCTTCCCCACAAAAGGACTCTATCCTGTCCCAAGGCTCAGAGGCACATGAAGTAAAAGACAGGCAGGTACACACACCACAGCTTAATGATGCCTCCGAAAAGAAGACAACAGTAACATGTCTGTGGTCACAAGTACTCACTGTAGGCCAGCCCAGCAGGGGGCGGGGCTGGGGCTGCTGCACCACTGAGATGCATTCCTGCCAGCTGAGCAGTCACCTCTGTACTTGTCGGGGGAGGGCCGTAGGGATGAAGTACAGCTGGCTGGCTGACCATAGGGGCCAGTGGAGCTGAACCAAATGGCTGAGATCCAGGGTGCCTATGAGGAGAAACAAAGCAAAGGTTTCTTTCTGGGTCGAGGCATTCTTGAAAGCTGAAGTTTCACATCACACAAACAGCTGTATTTTACTCCCGTGTATTTGTGATTAAATTCTTGGTTATCTCCAATGTGGTTATTCATGGCAAATACTGTTTTTCACTAAACGCACTCTGCAAGCATGCCAAGAACCCCCCCATATCAAACACTATTTGTTCTGCTACATAAACTATCACCTTCTCTGTTGCAGTCCTCACGGTGCAATAGTTAGGAGCTCAGCTGCTAACTAAACAGTGTGGTTCAAACTCATGAGCTGTTTTGTGGGAGAAAGATGTAGCAGTCTGCTTCCAACAAGTCTGTGGTTGCTGTATACTGCCGAGTTGGAACCGGCCCATAGCTGACCCTCCAGTAGGTTTTCAGAGGCAGTTAATCACACAGGAAGATTACCCATCTTCCTCCTGTGGAGCAGCTGGTGGATTCATACTGTGTGCCTTTGGGATAGCTCTTTACCACTAGGCCACCAGAGTTCCCTTCCAACAAGATTACAGCCTTGGAATTCATATGGGGCAGTTCTACGCTGTTCTACAAGGCGTTATGAATCAGAATTGACTAAAAAACACCAGAACATTTTTTCTATTTTTTTTTAATGACAAACCACATCTGTTTTCTAATCTGAAACCCTCAAAAGATTTGAAGGGAAGGTGCACACAGCATAACAGCATTTAAAAGAAGGGTCAATCAAATAAACAGTTTTGATTTTTCAACTTTTGAACCAAACTATTACCACTTTATCCTGGGAAAGAGGTCAGAAAATCTGGGTGATCAGAGGATCTGGTCAGCGGAGCTTTGGCATTCTGTACTAATGTGAAAGATTACACCATCTAATTCGGCTAGGAAAGAACTACTCTTTAAAGAAACAGGACAAAGATCAGGTAGCCTTCCAGAAGGGACTATCCAGCAAAACTTTGTTCTTGGATAGCTGTGTTGCACAAGCCTATCATATCAGAAGTACATTTAAATATAAAGTCACTGCACATCACTCATATGCAATAGCACATTGTTGAACAATCTGTAACTTAGGACATTATACCTAACAGGCACCTGAGATTTCAGGGTGAATCAAATTCTTCACAATCATAGTTATACTACATCGAAACTTCCTAGCTGGTTTTGTCTTATCTAAAAAACTAGAACTCTATATATTAGCCTCAGCTTCTATTACCCATGCAGTTTAATACTTTTCATTCATTCAACTAGTATTTTCTTAGCACAATTTTCTTTCAATTATTCACTTTTTAGATCATGTCAACCTCATGGTGGGGCTTCACACTTTTTGTTCTCCACAGTATCAAAAGACTGAAACCATTTATTTGTCAATGATGTAGACCCTGCCAAGTCCAAAAGTCAGGCATGGCTGTAGGACACCAAATTCTTGGCTTATTTCCTATCTCACATTGTTCCTTCTGTCTTTTGATGGCTCCTCTTTAATCCTTTTAAATGGTAAACTCCAAAGTTCAGCCTTCAATTTTATTTTTTATTCTCAATGTTTACTCTGTAAGAGATTTCACTGAGCCTCAATACTTTTTATCTGCAGCCTAAGAATTGGGTATATCCAATTAGATAGTCAACAGTTGTTTTAAATTTCCAATGTCCAAAATAAAACCCTTCATTTTACCTCCAAATGCTGCTCCATGTCAAGAGATCTCTGTTGATTCTTTATTTCTCTTCATTTTTTATTGTGAACTGAATGAAAATTTACAAAGCAAACTTAACTCATACATGTATGTCCTGACAGTGATTACAATCTACACATTAAATAAGCACACTTCCTACTTCATTTCTGTGTTTACCATTTCCATGTGGTCTTCTTTACTATGCTTTTCTGCCTTTTAAGCTTTATCCTCAGGTAAATTCTGTCCTGTTAATCATGTATAGTTGGTTATTCTAAGGGGTGCATTCCTCCCTGATGTAACTGATAACTTTATAGGTCTACTGTTTAGCTCAGAGTTGAGTCACAGGGAGATTTCAGTTCCAAGCTTGTAAGGGTCATTGTGTTAGGGATTCCACCAGCCCTTAATACGGATTACACCCACCCCACCCCACCCCCAAAAAAATCATCATCACTGGACTAATAGACAACATCATGATAGAAGGGAAAGATTGAAGTGATCAATTACTTCATCCTACTTGGGTCCACAATCAACATTCTTGGTAACAATAGTCAAGAAATCAAAAGAAACATTTCAGTGAAAAAAATCTGCTGTCAAGGACCTTGTCAAAGTGCTAAAGAGCAACGATGTCAGCTAAAGGCTAAGGTTCACCTGATTTAAGCCAGGGTCTTTTCATTTACTTGTTATGCATCTGAAAGTTGGACAAGGACTAACCCCAGCAAAAAAAGAATCAGTGCCTTTGAGTTGTGTTGATGGAGAAGAATACTGAATATCCCACTGACTGCCAAAATACAAGAATGTTTTGGAGAAAGTGCAATCAGGGTGCTCTTTAAGAGAGAAAGATGGTGAAACTTCATCTCATATATTTTCAGCAGGTTGTTAGGGGTGGTCAGTCCTTGGAAAAAGACATCATGCTGAGAAAGGTGGAGGGTCAGCGAAAGAGATGAAGACCCTCAACAAGATGGACTGACACAGTGACTGGAACAATGGGCTCAAATATATCAGAGATGGCTCAGGATAGGGTATGGTCAGAGCCACTGTTCATAAGATTGCTATGAATTGTAGGTGACTCGTGACACCTAACAATAACAACTATCAGGCCAGTAAAGTTTTTAATTTTTTCACTCTTCTTTGCTCTAGATGGGAAGAGACAGTAATTGAAATTTAGATGGCTATTCTTTCTCTGTTAACTCTTATCCAATTCTTTTAAGTCTGTCTTCAAAATGGCTGTCATATCTGATTATTTTTCACTTTTGCTGCAACCATTCTAAACCAACTAAAATCACCTTTTACTTAACCACTGCCAGATGTACAAGCTGGGTTTAGAAGAGGCCATGGGACTAGAGACATCATAGCCAATGTTAGATGGATCTTTGCTGAAAGCAGAGAGTAGGGGAATGTCTATCTGTGTTTGATTTACTATGCAAAGGCATTTGACTGTGTGGATCACAACAAATTGTGGCTAACCTTGAAAAGAATGAGAATAGCAGAACACTTGATTGTGCTCATCCAAAACCTACTGACAAGGAAGCAGTAATGAGAACAGAGCAGGGAAACACTGCATGGTTCAGGATCAGGAAAGGTGTGCGGCAGGGATGCATCCTATCTCCAAATCTTTTCAATCTATATGCGGAACAGATCGTCTGGGAGGCTGGACTTTATGAGGAGGAATGTGGCATCAGGATTGGAGGAAGACTCATCAACAACCTGCATTATGCAGATGACACAATCTTGCTTGCCAAAACTAAGGAGGACCTGAAGCACTTGCTGCAGAAGGTCAAGGACTGCAGCCTTCAATATGGATTGGAACTCAACATCAAGAAAAGAAAGATTCTCACCACTGGGCTGATTGGCAGCATCATGATAGATGGTAAAGAGAATGAGATTGTTAACAGAAACTTAGTTTGCTTGGCTTCACAATCAACACTCTTGGTACAAGCAACCAGGAAATGAAAAGATCAATTGTATTGGAAAAGTATGCTGTCAGGGACATCTCCAGAGTAATGAAGAGCAACGATATCAGTTTGGAGACTAGGCTGCACCTGATCCAGGTAATTACATACTATGTATCAGAAAGCTGGGCAATGACTAAGGATGACAGGAGAATTGATGTCTTTGAGCTGTGTTGTTGGGGAAGAGTATTGAATATACCATGGACTACTAAGAGAACAAACAGGTTTGTCTTGGAAAGAGTGAAACCAGGCTGCTTCTTGGAGGCAAGGATTCTGAAGCTCTGTCTGACATACTATGGGCTTATTGCAAGGAGGGACCAGTTCTTGGACAGGGATATTACATTTGGGAGGGAGGGAAGACAGAGCAAGAGAGGAAGATCCTTGATGAGCTGGACTGACTCAGTGACTGAGGTAATGGGGTAGGTGTGTCAGAGACAATAATGTTGACTCAGGATAAAGCAGGGTTCAGAGCTATTGTACACAGGGTTGCTATGAGTCATAGGTGACTTGATGGCATATAACAACAACAACAACAACAACAACATCATCATATATTTTACATTACAATGAAAAGATTGATGATCATTTCAATGAATAAATGAAAGAACAAATGGGAGGGACCATGTTACTCTATAGCTTAAAACCCTGCAATGACTTCTCATTGCTACTAAAACCAAACATAAACTTACTTTGATTTACAAGGCACTCTATCAAGCATCCTCTAGTTAACGTCTCTTTTCTCTTTCACTTTCCTCTGTTCTGGTCACACTGACCGCCTTGTTTTCCTTAATATTCCTCAAATTAGTTACTACCTCTGGGTCCCTGCAGTTGCTTTCCTTCTACCTAAGATACTGTTCCCTCACCCCTTGGCATAGCTCACTTCATTACTTCTCTGAGAGCTTCCTTGACCAGCACATATAAATCAGCTCTTTACTTCATTATCAGTCATCCTCTAGATTCTCAACCTACTTTGTTCTATGTAGATTTGTTTACTTATTATCTTTTGTGTCTTCCTCTGGAATGTAAACTTCATTAAGGCAAAGACTTACTGCTTTAACCTCAACTTCCAGAATTCTATGCAAACAACGATTTTGTAACACATGAACGAATTCTCTATATGACTTCTCAGTTTCTTAATCCAAATCCCACAATACTCCAACAAAGATGTTCTTTCCCCTATACTGAACCTTCATGAAAAGACTAGAGGTTAATTGAGCCATGCACCACCTACATTTTCACCATTTATATGCTTTTCCTTTGGGAATCTTTCCTTTCATAACTGGCCTTGCTCAAACTTAACCAGTCAGTCCTACTACTAAAATGCCTAATCTAGAGAAAATGGAAAACTCAGAAAAGATACAAATAACCCCAAGGATCCTTCTTTCTGTTTCACCTTCAAGACAAGCTCAGTAAGAGCCACAAAAATCATTGAAGAAACATGTCCAGTAGAAAACAAATAAAAAATCATAAGCAGCACAAACCCTTAATTTCCTAGAAAGAAACAACACAGGAAAGAATGCAGGACCTAAGCTGAATCAGTAAACCAGAGAGCTAGATATTAGCAGTGTCTCCAGCTTGTGGCCTGAGGGGGAGGGGGGGAAAGAAAAGGAAGAGAGGAAGGATGCAAAAAGGGATCTATAGGCAAAGGAATGAAAAGAAAATAGAGTTAGACTCTCACATATTTCTATTCCTACAGCTTCAACAGATCAGTATCACATGACTCAAGTACATACCTCTGCATCTGAACAGTGGAACTCGGCCCATTCTGCACATCTCCCTGGCCAAACTGACCATAGGCCTGTGCTGGTGAGGCTGGAGGTGCCCCTGAGGAAGGTGGGGCTCTCGACACACCTGAGGGTAAAGGACAAAAACTAAGTGATCGGGAAATCATTTTCTCCTCCACCCTGAGTCAGGAATGCAGAGAGTCACGGCCCCTCAATCAATTCCCAGACAGCCAGTTGACAGACTCACAATCCCTTCAATGAAGGGAAAGCCTGGTCCCCTAGAGAAGGGCCTCACTACACTTCTGAAAATGGAAACGCTTAATCTTTCTCTCAGTCTTCCCCAAAGTGACCTATGGTCTTTTACTAGGGTGACTATGTACTGGGGTTGAAAAATAATTATCCTTTCTAGGGATTACCAAACACTAGTAATGTGACTAGTAAATGACACTAATCCCAGGAGACCCAAAGCATTACTGTGGTCCACCAGTCGGAGAAGGAGTTATGGAGGTCAGGTGATCAGTGAGTTTTAGCTCAAGTCCATCTCACAGTGGGCACAATGGGTACCCAAATCCATCTTGTTGTTATTCCCCTGGAATGTACAACAAGAATAAATATACTCAGCAACTGATAAGCCTTCAATGGTCCAATACCACACTTTTTTGGAGTAAAAGGAGACCATCAACACAGAACTTCAGCTACAGTAGTATTATGAACTAGAATTCCCAGTCAGAGAGCCTCCACCCTCTGAGACCATCACAAGGATCAGGGCCTCTAGGTGATCACCTGCCCACTCAATTCAAGATAGTCTGATATTCCTCAGCCGGACAAAAAGTTAGTTATTGTAAGGAAAAGACTACTCCAGAACTCAAGAGTGTTGAAACACATGTAATATATTGAGCTAGGTATTAAAGGCCATCTCTACACGGGCCGACCATTCTATTATCGTCTTTATACATGGTAGTTATTTTAATCACATCATATTCATCTACTTCCAAGTGAGGAGGCCCCAGTGCATCACTTGGGAAAGTGTGTCCCAGAGTCTAGAGAGCGAGTGAGTCTCTGCTCACAAGTTCAATAATGACAGCTGGCTGGCCCTCCTGTACCAACCAGTCTTCTCGCAAAAGCTCTACTCCATCCTTTGTTCAAAAGCTGTACTCATCCAACATTTCCACTCATCAGAGCATCTATGAAGGGGTTCTACTATGACAAACATCCCTCCTGCAAACTATCCCTAACCATCCTTTCCATATAAAATGCAGAAAGAAAAATTATTTGTTACTTGGAACCATTACTTTTGAAATGTCTCCCATCTGTCTAACTTCACCATAAGGAAATGTTAGACCTCTACAAACCTATGTTCTATCTTTTGTACTGTCAAACAATTTTTATTTAGTTCAGCCCTCTGTAGAAACAGGTATCATAGAACCTGCGTAGATGAACATGCTTAATCTGAGCATGCTTACGAGCCATGATAGAACCAGTGTTTTCCTTTTAATAACAAAGCTGCGTCTTGAAACAATGCCAAATTCCATGTTGCTAAGCCAGGAGTTGGCTTATCAACCAGAGGTGGACTCTGTCCTGCCAAAGTGTCAACCCAGTATAAAGCTTTTCTATAGACCTGAGATCTAATCTCGCCACTTCAAAAATGATTATTTCAAAATTTTAATTAAAATTCTAGATGCTCCGCTGAAGAAGGAGGGAAAATCTCTTTCTGTGCCAGTCGGATACGATTCAATGGTACACAACAAGAAAAAGGAAAAGAAAAAAGTCACAAAAGACCCCCAAACAAAACTGTAATTAAAATAGTAATTCTTCACTGATTTTTCAAATCTTACCTAGCCAGTCATGATATCTTGATATCTGGTTATTTCCGTATTTCTTTATGAAATTTTCTCTTTTAATAATAGTCTGGTACACTCTAATAAGCCTAATAACTAAAAATCCTCTACAACTATTCTTTCAAGAAGCCCTTCTGAGTAATCTGCAGAGTACCAGGTGTCCTTGCCTTGAAGAAGTAATATAAAAGCCAAACACTGATTCTATGGCAGCACCAAATTAGTCTTCTTTTATTGCTTGATATAACAGGGCATCTAAGAAGCAGCGGAAACTCAAGCAAAAAAAGAAAGTTATCAGCAGAAAGATAGGAGAAACAAAAAATTTAAAAAATCAGGCACACATACAGTATACTTTTTTCCATGAAACAGCATCCCTATGTTCAAGTTATTTACAGAAACATCTGTCCACTAAGAGGCATTCTCAATATATACTAGGAGCAAGTGATTTCAAGAAGACTTTAGAATAAGAAAGATTCAATCCTGGCTATAGTATTTGGAGGAGCTGTGATCACAACTCTTCCATCTAGCTTTGAACACCACTGCCAGATAAGGCTTAATCTCAGGGTAATGCCCATAGGAAGTAAGCTTCTACTGAATCAGGAAGGCATGGTTTCACTAAATGCCTTAACCCTTAGCCAGAAACAGTCACTCTATGGCAAAAACAGAGCAGGGCAGACTGTCCACAAAGATCTTGATGACAGAGAACCAGATTAATGTTCTTCAATCCCAGTTACTACAACTCTTTAGCATTTTAGCTAAGTAGTACAATCTAACCTTACAACTGCTGATTCCCTCTCCCACAGCTCAAAGTAAATTTAGAAATACATACCTGGGGGAGGTGTTTGCTGATAGCCTGGTACTGGGCCATTGTATGAAGCTCCATAAGGGGTGGGGGACATTGTGGACCCTGGCTGCCCACCATAGCTGGACTGAGGATATCCTGGGTAAACAGGCTGGGACTGCCCATATGGTGGCATAGGAGGAGCTGACTGGTTGACGTTCATTATGAGAGCATCCCCAGCACAATGGCACCTATTAAAAATGAGAAAAGAAACTTGTCGAAACTTTTTAAAGAGAAAGCAACTATTTGGAGGTAAAATGTAAAGATTGATTTTTATCAAAAAGACAGTCAAACCACCACAGAGGCCCAGTCTTGGGTTCTCAGTGCAATGCCCTACAGAATAGTCACCAGAGTCCATGTTACGACGAAGAGGGTACACATTTCAACTTCAAATAAGCCCACCGGAATGGAGAAGCAATGTCCATTTCCCTGTTGTACAGTTTATACTGTACAGCCACATAAGCAGTCCTGAGGCAGATGACCACTGTGACATTACAGGGAAATTAAACAATGTTCCTACTTTCCATTCATTCAGCCTAGCATTCCTCAGAGTACCATGTATTGTGCCCATCTTCTTTAAATGCCAGGACACACTGTCTAAAACAGACTGGTGTAATTCTTTCTTCTTCAAACGAAAAATTTCAGAGTAACTAATGATGCTTGGAAAGATGAAGGGTCAGCAAGAGAGGAAGATGCTTAACAAGATGGACTGACACTGTGACTTTAGCAATGGACTGTAGTGTCTCAGAGATGGTGAGGATGGCAGGTTTTAGGTTGGCTAGTCAACGGCACCTAACAATAACAATGAGAGAAGTTAAAAAAGTAACATTCTTCAGCTAAAGACTAATAATCCAAATGCTACTCCATTTCTAGCTTCCCTATCAAACCCTCAATGTAAAGGACTTTTGAAAACTCAAGCAAGTTTAGTGTAGAACGGGCACAAAAATTTCTTCACAACCTATGGGATCAATGACAAAGTTATAGCTCATTAAAGAGATCCTTCATCTTATACTTCAAGCAGAGCTGTTGTTATTAGTTGCCATCCCGTCATCTGGATTCAAGGCATACTCATGTGCAATGTATGAAACGCCTTCTGGGGCACTTCTCAAGCTCTGTTTCTGCTCTCCTTAAATAGCTGTCATGTATCCAGGCCACCTCTAGAATTATTAGTCTCGCCCTGAGATAAGGGGAATGAATTTGGGAGTCTTACCAAAGTTCTTCCAAGCAAGGGAATCAGTCTACACTAAACAGTCTCATGACTCCCAACTATCCAACAGTCCAGAACCCCTTTGCTAGGAGGAGTCACCTTCACCATAGAAAAGCAGAGCTGCGTCTCAATGAAATCTCCTTAGATTCAAAGCCTTCTGAGGATCTGTTCTTCCAAATTCTGGACCGCGCACAGGTAACTGACACTGAGTTTGACAGAAGCTTCCCTTAGAGGAAGTGGGGTGACGTTGTGGGCAATGAATACAGTTTTCTCCAGCAGATAAAAGGTCGAAGCTCAGATAAGGCTCAGGTTTTGAATAAACCAACTCCTACTTTCCCCAAACCAACTCCTCTTTCCCCAAACACACCCTAGCGTTTACAGTCAAGATCAAATCTCTACTCCATTCTGAAAGCAGTCAAGGATGACAACCCAAGGGGGCGGGGTAGCCCTCCTAGAACTCTGGAAATAGTCGAACTGTGGTTGTGGAGGAGGGGAGCACAAGAAATCAATACCAAAGGGCTTGGTCTCCGACCAGCTTCCCCGACCACGAAGAGAGCGCACACTGATTCATTAAACACAGAGATCGGGCGTCCCGCGCGCCCTTCAACAAGCTGGGGACAGGAGGCACGAGCCGAAATCTGGCTCGGGAGAAGGGAGGGTCTAGGACGGATCCTAGGTTGCGGATGCGTGAGGTGAGGGACTCTCCCCACGCCCCGCCCCAGACTGCTTCCTTCTTTCTGAGACAGGACCTCGATCTGGCCATTAATACCTCGGCCTCTTTCCTGCTTTTCTACACACCAACCCTCCCGATGCCACTCCTCACCCGGCTCCAGATCCAGGTTCGACTTCGTTCCTAACGTCAAGACTCCCAGGCTCCACTTCCGGTTCCGAGGAGGCCGTGGCGTCGGCCCCGGAAGTCCCGCCCCCACGCTGGCGAGCTGTTTCGCTCCTTTTGCCACGTCTGCACAGGCATGTGCTGAGGAACCCGGATGGTGCACATGCGCCCTTCTATCATGGCTGCTGCCTAGAGACTGCCGGTTTTTACTTATTTCAGTTTGTTTATTTCTTTATTTTCAGATGTAATGGTATTTTATAGCCCCACTGGATGAAATGCGATTGAGAAGACTGGGCCGGACCATCCTTGGGGACACCGTTTTTATGTGCTTGTTTTGTATTAGTATTTTCTGCGCTAAGTTATTTTGTTTGGACTTCCTGCTGACCTCTGACCCCATGCCCCAGATTTTCGTTTTTCGCAGTTGCTTTTACCCTTAACTTTTGCTACTCGTGTAATTTGTTTACTGTATGGTTGCAAAGAATATTAATGCTACAGTGTGTTGAAATTCTGCCTCAGCAGTTTGCTGGCGATGGCAGTTGTCTTAATTTCTCTGAATTTACTTTTTCTGTAAAGTGGGACTAATAATGTTCGATGCTGTCCTGTCGTCTACGACTTTGACCCTAATAGGTCGTAACCTTGCTCTATCATGCAAGATCCTCACGAATTCTGTCATGCTCAAGCCCGTTGTGGAAGTCACTGCATCATTCCGTGTTGTTGAGGGTCTTGCTCTCCGTTTCTGACATTTCTCAGCATGATGTCTGCCAGGATTGCTTCCTCCTGAGAACATGCCCAAAGTAGGTGAGAGGAAATTTCACCGTCCTTTCCGCTAAGGAACACTCGGGCAGCTCTTCCTTCCTGACAGATTTGTTTGTAATAATAAATGTGCTTCTGATAGCTTGTTAAGTCAGGAGACTCATAACATTGGAAAAATCTACTGTCAGGGACTTCTCAAAAGTCCTGAAGAGGAATGATGTCATTTTAAAGACTAAGATATTCCTGATTCTAGCCATCATCTTTCCAGTCATCTGCTATGCGTCTGAGAGCTGAACAGTGAATAAAGATGACAAGACTAATCAATGCCTTTGAGTTATGGTTTTGGAAAAGAGTACTGGACATCCCATGGACAGCCAAAAGAATAACAGATATGTCTTGGGGAAAGTGCAACCAGAGTATTCCTTAGAGGCAAGGATGGTAAGGTTTCATCTCACATACTTTGGAAATGTTGCTTGAAAAGGCAATTCCTCTGAAAGGGACATCATGCTTGGAAAAGTGGAGGGTCAGCGAATGAGAAGCAGCCTCTCTTTAAGATGATTGACACGGTGACTGCAGCAGCGGCCTCAAGTGTGTCAGAGATGATGACAATGGCACAGAATAGGACAGGGTTCAGAACAGGGTTGCTAAGTCATAGCATACTTGACAGCACCTAACAACCACCACCACAATAGCTTGATAAAGGCTCTGGTGCTGTAGTCCTGTGAAGGAATTGCCCTGCTAATCCGAAGACAACATCTTTGGAAAAATCTGTGCCATTTCCTCCTGTGAGACTTCCCTCCAGTGGAAACCCAGTGGAGAATCAGCTCTGAGTCAGTTCAGACTAGACTATAACAAATTGAGAAATGAATAGTTTGTTAAGGGAACTCTGGTGATCTGTTAGGTAGAGAATTGCACTGCTAATTCAAAATACTGCCTCTGATGGTTCAAATCCACTAACAGCTTTGAGGAAGTAAAATGGGTGATCACCTCTCAGCTATTTATAGCCTCAAAACCCTGTGAAGGTTCAGGTCTGAGTTGGCTCTGACTCAAAGGCAGTCAGAGGGACTAGCTTGTTAAGGGCCTCTGTAGATGAAGTTAGTGGGGAGTGGCTCTGCCAATCTAAGTCTCTCTGGTGGTTTGAATCCATCAGAGGCTCTGAGGGAGAAAGATGAGCAATCTCGTTCTATGGGAAGCCAGATTTCATACTAAATATTTGTAATAAACCTGCTACTTCAGGTTATGAGGGAGGCTGAGACAAGCTGGAATTCAACCTGAAGCGTTAAGGCAAATGTTTACAGAGGTAGACAGACTAAGGCAATCTTTAAGCATTTACAGGATTCTTGCATTGTATTTGCTAACCTCTCCCTCCTGTGTGGCAGAAGGTTTTCAATAGAAAGAACTTAGTTTTGTTTGCATAGAATTATCTTTGTAATTTGCTCCCTGGCAATTTTCAGTAAAAACACAGAAGCTAAGACCAGAGCTTCAGTTTTTCTAGAACTTTTTGCCTCCTGCTTTACCTGTGTTCTCTTAAATTCTTGATGTTCTGTCTCACTATTAATACTAGTATACTTTACCCTCGATCTGCAACATTATCCCCTCAAATTTACAGCCTTGGAAACTCAATGGCACCCCACAGGAATGAGTATTCTTTCAAGAATTACATATTGGTGATCTAATGACATAGCATTAACTAATGGCATAACATAACTGAAAAATCAGAAGTTTGAATCCACTGGAAAGTCACCGTGAGACAGAAACAAACAGAAGTGGATTTGCTTTAATAACTTGTTGACAGAACCCTACTGCTATATTGGGCCACCAATCCAAAGATCCAGAGTTAGAATCCACCAGCCTTTTTATGTGAAAAAGATGAGGCAGTCTCTCCTTGTAAAGATTTACAGCCTCAGAAACCAATGTTGTTGTTGTTATGTGCCGTCGAGTGCGACCCTATGTACAACAGCCCTAAATTCCGCTCTGTTCTGTGCCTATCACACTGTCTCTGACACTCCCATCCCAATTATCCCAGTCACTAAATCAATCTACCTCATAGAGGGCCTTCCTCTCCTGCGCCGTCCCTCCATCCTCCCAAGCATGATGTCCCTCTCTAAGGACCGGTCTCTCGTCACAACATGTCCAAAGTAAGTTAGACGGAGCCTCAAAATCCTTGCCTCCAAGGAGCCACCCGGTTTAACCCTCTCCAGGACAAATCTGTTTGTTTTCCTAGCAGTCCATGGTATTCTCAATACTCTCTGCAACAGGCGCTTCAGGTCCTCCTCAGTTTCAGCAAGCAGGTAGAGGTTGTTATAAGTCAGTATTCATTCCAAGGAAGTAGGCTTGGTTTCACAGGTTGGTTTTTTTGTTTGTTTTG